AAAAAGATCATCTCCTAATGCAAATTTAACTTGAATCAACTTGAAGGGCAAATATTGGAGACTTGTGATCAGCTCCCAAATTCATCGAGTGAGCGTTTGCAAAGAAACTCTTTACCGTGATTATCACAACAGGAACAAAATGGCTGCAAATCAGAAGTCTAATAAACCAAAGACGAATGTTGACATAGTTGTAAAAGAATATTAGAGTTGATTAAACGATCATCATACAGATACTCACTGAAATATTCAAAAGGACAAACTGTTTCCAACAAAACTACACGAGGAATTCAAATTGGTTCCATAACACCCCTCTTTTTCATTTCATACTACAAAGTTTCTATGAATTTTTAAAAAAATGATAAATGATAGAACTCTGTACAGCACTAGTGAAGGTCCTCCAATTGTTCAGTACAATGGGAAAATATAATAAAAGATCTTACACAAGCCCAATGAGTATAATCTACCACTGGTTCGGAAATGCCTCCCGATAACTAGTCTCCTCAGCCTGCGTCAACTGTCTGATTGTACTATCCCCCGCACGAGTGTTCAAAAGCCTCTGAGCCAATCGAACCTTAGTAGATTCCTTCTTTCTCAACATCGATGCAAGTGCTTGTTTATTATTACTGGTTCTACCATGATATCTCGACCTGCTTCCTGTCTCCATATTCTCCCCAACATCATTTGATCTCCAAGTCGAAGCAAGTGCTGCATCACGTAAAACTGATTCATTGTGCTGGCGGATTTTCGCAAGCTTTGCTCTCTTCAAGGCCTTCTTGTCCAATACTCTCTTGTTAGCTTCTTCGTGATCCCTTTCCCGGACATTCTTCATGGCTTGCTTCAAAAGCCGACCGACTAACTCATTATCCATATTATGATCCGACTCCTCTGATCGGTTCCGAGTATTCTCGTTCATTACGGGATTTTCGTTAACTGGTTTCCCTTCATCGTCCCTCGGGATGATTTGCCCGTGAAAAGGGCACACCTTCAAATCCCTTCTCTGACAGAGCCCGCCTTTTTTCAGTGGGGCCCGGCATGGCGGAATTTCGACTGGCTTTTCCTTGTAAACGGATGTGTGCACATTAAGTTCGGCAATTTTGTCTGCCGGAATAACTGCATCTTGTTCAACCCTACCCCAGTGGCCCTCGAGATCCAGTCCCCTCTGGTTAGCCAAGATATCTCTTTTAGAACCCCAGTTGTCCAAGAAAGAACCCCAGTTGAGAATGGGAGCTTCATTCAAGAGTTCACTTCGAATGGGGTCTGAACTCTTTTTATTTTTCCCATTTTTCGAAATATTGTCTCGTGCGCTGTTGGAAGTTGATGCAGTCTGTGAATTGTTGTTTGTAGAAGACCCCGGACTGACTTTCCCCTTTTCGAGTGGTTCTACAGTACCATCTTCCCAAATATCATCTTCCTCAGCTTTTGCACTTTTGGAAAGGTCACAACCCAACTCCTCGCATTTTCTTTTTGTGGACTGAATCGAGTTTCTTAAATCTATCAGATCTTTCAAAGCAGAGTCTCGAAACCTATTGTCTGGAAGTTCCACCCTGATCAGAACAGAAATCCATTCCTGTATCCCAACTAGATGCTTAGTTACTAAAACTTTATAGAACTCCCTCAGCGCATCAAAAACAACTTTGTTTTCACTGTTCTCCCGAACTTTTTCTCCCTCTTTCAAGGAGTCAAGACGGATCTGACGTAACTCCGAGTTACGAAACTCTTCCATTTCTTCGTCATCAAGAGGAACCAAAGGCACATCGTCATCCTCCAGTCGAACAATATCAAGGCACTCGTCAATTTCATTGATCTTGGCAAGTATTTCTTCCTTAACAAATGGAAAATTCTCCTTCAAGGATTCGTACTTTTTCAATAAAATCTCTTTCGTTCTCATCTCCCTTTCCAATCTTTCTTGTTGAACGCGAGCAGCATTGGCTTGCAGGTTTGGGAATTGGAAACGGAGAGTGTTCTTGAGATAGTCGTACCCCAACCTTATCTGCCGGTAATGAATTCCGAAAGATTCGTTCCATTTTTCTAGAAACTCGATCGCCTTTGAACGAAGAAGGGAAGCAATGGAAGCAGGATCAGGGAGGGGATGAGTTCCTCTAAACCCGACACTTAAGCTGAGTAATTGGTCAAGATTCTCAATCAGAAGATTCCTGAAGAGCTTTGAGCGCATGAAAAGTTGGTCTATTATGAGAAGCGCGAGATACCGTACCTACAAAAAGTAGTTTTAAAAATATTACATTTCCAAACTCACCTATCCAACAGTAAATAGAATACAATCTTCAGAGAGGCAACAAGGAGTAGAAAAATTCAATGATTCATTGATATAAGACCATTCTACAAATCTTTTTCTTATTTTCTAACAGCCATGGAACTAATACGAGCAGTCATGAATCAAAACTCATTTAACCATTGGCTTATGCAGGAAATCCAAATATGTCCATTGGTGAATTCTGGTGATAGTAAAGCTGGATGCATTTGTTTATATTCATAACGGGTGTACTAGGCATAATATCATTTGGAAACTTTGATTTTGGAATAGTAACTATGCAATCACAAGAGATTCAGAACCATAATTTCAAAATGGAAGCACCTGCATCAAATACTAGACCCTAAATGCTCCTCGTGCGCATACCCCAAATTTAGCTATTCTCCAGGATCGAAACCAAAAAACAGAAACAGAAACAGAAACTGAAACTAAACAGATGTAACCCGAACAATAAAATAAAATAAAATAAAAGTGGTCTCAATAACTTGGAGAACACACCTGAGAATGATCGCGTTTCATGAAGGACATTAGGGTTTCAGCGGCAAATCGGAGCTCCGAATCGGAGTAGCGAACCGTAAATTTAATTGCTTTGAGGAGGCGAGGATCCACCTCCGCTGTCGTAGATTCGACGGCTCTTTCGATCAAATTCACCACCACCGCCTTCCCACTTTCTTCCTCCATATCCACTGCCTAGATTATTCGACTATTTTTCTCCTTGATTTTCCCGGCGATGACATTATTTATATCTCTCGTAAAAGTCAGCGGATTATTTTATGTATCTTCCTTTGCTGGGGCAAGGCGTTTATGACGATGATACCCCTGCGCAGTTGAGGGGACGGGTAAACCACAATACTATTATTTTAAAACTTATATTTTAAATACCTATAAAAAATATTAAATATCTTTAGTAAAATTATTTTATAAAAATATTAATCCATATAATATACAAAAGATTAATTAAATTCATTTTAAAATTTGAAAAGAAATTTGAAGAATGTATAATTTAAATATTATTATAAATGATAATCTAAATATGCAATATTATTAAAAAATAATTTTTTTAGAAAAAAAATAATTAATTTTTCTCTAAATAAAATTATTTAAAATATTATTTGTGCATAAATTCTATCTGGAAAATGGAAAGAATATATAAATTAATACTTAGAATAAAAATTATTAGAAAAATACTACCAGTACATAATAAATGTACATATATGTGTATATAACACTTACATGGAGTGGGGTCTACTTAATTTTTTATTTAGCATTTCTCATATTTACGACATTCTTCATGTGATGTTACCACATTAGTCCTTTCTTGTTAAAAGTTTCACTCTAAAACCAATAGAAAAATGTAGTCGGAGAAAAGAATGCATGACCTATGAGAATTTATGTGTTAAATTGTTCTTTGNAGAAATAGCTACAAGAAAAAGAGTGCAATGCTAGCCAATAAGACCCCATCTTCATAATTGTTTATTGATTTCCCTTAATGCAAAAGTCTAGTAAAATAGATATTTTTTATATGTTTGATCAAAATGTAAGAGCATATATATAATACATTTTAAATAATGTATTATGATTTGCCTAGAGCAAAATATCATAGTACTTTTATTACTCTATTGTGTGGGATCCAGCCAACCACCATAAGCCATCATTTTAGAATTAATAAAGAAATGAAAGTGGGTGGCGTAGTCACGCCCACCATTTTTGGAAAACGGAAAGAGCGAGGAAGGCTTCATCTGTTCACATGTATTTTCGCCTCTATAAATAGAGGGCATTTGGCAGAGCTGAAGACACACCAAGCGAGAAGAAAAAAGAGAGAGCAAGAAAAGAAATAAAAATATTTCTTGAGAGTGTTATTTTTCAGTGAGAGAAAAATAGAGTGTTTGAGTAAATCCTGTGAGTGTGGGAAAAATACACCGGGTTGGGTATCATCTCTATTACTCCTTGTTTGTAATATTTGAATTGGAGTGGGGTCTCACTGGGTCACTATATTTTACATTTCTAGTGTAGGGGAGTGTGAAAAAATATTGTAATTATCTTGAAAGTATAGTGGAATTGTTCGGAGTTTGTCCCGTGGTTTTTTCTTCTACATTGGAGGTTTTTTCACGTTAAATCTTGGTGTCTTCTTTCTTGCATATTATATTTATTTGGAATATTCTTAGTATGCTCTGTAGTCGCAGTTTAATTTGATCTTCCACATCAGAAAAAAATTATTCCTGTTTGATTGCAAGAGATTTCTTTTGTCATTCTTGAGTTGCTGGGATTATTATTTTTATTCACCATTTCACAGTTGGTGTTTTAATTTACACCTTCCGCATTTGCGCACCTGAGCCCAACAAGTGGTATCAGAGCTTAAGTTGGGCTCTGTATCAACCCGTGTAAATTAAATGGAGGAGAACATGGGTACCATGGTGAAGCTGACAGCAACAAATTACTCCATTTGGAAGCCAAAAATGGAGGACATACTTTTCTACAAAAATCTGTATGATCCTGTAGAAAAAGGAGACATCAAACCAGATGATGTGAAGGATGACGATTTGAAAAAAGCTACACAAGAAGGCTGTCAGTTTAATCCGACAGTGGGTGGACATCAGCATATTCCACCATGTTGCCACAGAATCGAAAGCCCATACACTGTGGAACAAAATCGAGCAGATGTATCAAAGGAAGACTGCACAAAATAAAGCTTTCGTTATTAGAAAGCTTGTGAATTTAAAATATCGGGATGGAAGATCAGTTGCAGAACACTTGAATGAGTTTCAAGACATGGTAAATAACTTATTACCATGGAGATGAAACTTGATGAAGAACTGCAGGCGTTGTTACTTTTGAGTTCTTTACCGGATAGCTGGGAGACTCTGGTGGTCTCGTTGAGCAACTCTGCCCCTGAAGGAAAACTGACTTTGACCCAAGTCAAAGACAATATGTTTAATGAAGAAACAAGAAGAAAAGACTCTGGGTAAGCAGCTCCCAAGCCCTGGTCACAGAAACCAGGAGGAGAAGTAAAAGCAGAGGCCGGAACAATAAATCCAGAGATAAATCACAATCTCAACCCAGAAGAAAATTCAAGTGTTATCACTGCGATGAAGAAGGGCATATCAAAAGAAACTGTAAAGCCTGGAAGAACAGAGATCGGAGAAACAATAAATCAGAGAACGATGAAAATACCGCAACCCCTGTGATCAATGGGGAAGTGGTGTTGCTCTCTGTTGAAGAAGAAGAGTGCCACGTTGCAGATTCATGTGTTGAATGGGTCATTGACTCAGCAGCATCTTACCATGCAACCTCTCACAAGAAATTCTTTTCTCTATAAAAAGAAGGAGACTTTGGTAGAGTAAAGATGGGCAACAACAGCATTGCAAATATTGTGGGTGTTGTTGATGTGTGCATTCAAACTGATATTGGGTGCACAATAACACTGAAGGACGTGCGACATGTACCTGACTTACGTCTGAATCTGATCTCTGTGCATGCATTGGATCTAGCAGGCTATACTAACAATTTTGGTAGCGGCACATGGAGGCTTACCAAAGGATCATTGTTAGCTGCTAGAGGCACAGTGAGATCGACGTTGTACAGAACTCAAGTGAAGCTGATCAACGGTGGACTAAATGCAGTCGAGGATGATGCTTCACCAAATTTGTGGCACAAAAGACTGGCTCATATTGGTGAAAAAGGATTGCAAATTTTTGGCAAGAAAGTCCCTCATTCCATTTGCGAAAGATTCAAAACTAAATCCTTGTGATTATTGTCTCTTTGGGAAGCATCATAGAGTGTCTTTCAGCAAAACCTCGAAGCTGAAAGAGAATGTGTTGGAGATGGTGTATTCTGATGTATGTGGAGCAATAGAAGAGGAGAGTCTCGGTGGTAGCAAATATTTCGTGACGTTTACTGATGATGCTTCACGAAAATTATGGGTGTATTTCTTGAGAACGAAGGACGAAGTTTTTCAGTACTTCAAAAGGTTTCACGCTATGGTGGAGAGACAAACTGGTAAACCTTTGAAGTGTCTTCGCTCAGATAATGGAGGGGAATATACTTTTCATGAATTCAAGAATTATTGTGCTGATCATGGAATCAGGCATGAGAAGACTGTACCTGGAACCCCACAACATAATGGTGTGGCTGAAAGAATCAATAGAACCATTATGGAGAAAGTAAGGTGTATGTTAAGAATGGCTAAGCTACTTAAGCCATTCTGAGGTGAAGCTGTTCTAACGGCGTGCTACCTGATCAACCGATCTCCATCTGTTCCTTTGGGCTTTGATATCCCTGAGAGAGTATGGTTCGGACATGATGTTAAATACTCTCATTTGAAGGTGTTTGGATGCAAAGCTTTTGCTCATGTAAGCAAGAAACAAAGACGAAAACTTGATGATAGAGCCATTCCTTGTATATTTCTGGGCTATGGAGATGAGGAATTTGGCTACAAATTATGGGATCCAGAAAAACGAAAAATTGTCAGAAGCAGAGATGTAGTGTTCCATGAGAAAAAAAACTATGTTTGATTCTGCTTCACCAGAAATCAGAGAACCAGGTGGTAAGGTGGATCTTTCACCTGTTCAACCTCCTAGAGATGCCACAGTAGGGGGAGAGTGTGATGGAGAACTCAGGGTTGATGATGAACCAGCAATTGAAGATGGTGATGGTGAAGGTGTCGAGCAAGAATACCTCGAAGCTCCGCCTCAGCTCAGAAGATCAAATCGAGCGATCCAACCATCTACGAGGTACCCTTGTTCCACGTATATTACCATCACTGAAGAAGGGGAGCCAGAAAGCTTGAAGAAGTTCAGACTCATAAGGATAAATCCCAGTGGATGAAAGCTATGCAAGAAGAAATGGATTCACTGGTGAAAAATGAAACTTATGAGCTTGTGAAGCTTCCAGAAGGCAGGAAAGCCTTGAAGAATAAATGGGTTTCAAGCTTAAGAAAGATGGTGACAAGCTGTTGAAGTACAAGGCTCGTTTAGTCGTGAAAGGATTTGGACAAAAGCAAGGAATAGATTTTGATGAGATATTTTCTCCGGTTGTAAAGATGAGCTCTATTCGAGTAATACTCGGATTGGTGGCTAGCTTGGATCTGGAGCTTGAACAACTAGATGTGAAGATTGCATTTCTTCATGGAGACCTAGATGAAGAAATCTACATGGAGCAACCAAAAGGATTTGAGAAGACTGGAAAGGAGCACATGGTTTGCAGATTGAAGAAGAGCTTGTATGGACTGAAACAAGCTCCAAGACAGTGGTATAAGAAATTTGATTCGTTTATGGCGAGCCATGGATATACGAAGACTGATGCTGATCATTGTGTGTTCGTTAAGAAATTTCCAGGTGATAAATTCAGTATTCTTTTCTTATATGTAGATGATATGTTGATAGTGGGACATGATATGAAGCTGATAGTGGGACATGATATGAAGCTGATTGGTGATTTAAAGAAGGATTTAGCAAAGTCCTTTGATATGAAGGATCTGGACCCGGCGAAACCAATTTTGGGCATGCAGATAATGCGAAACCGAAAATCTAAGATGTTATGGTTATCGCAAGAACGGTATATGAATCGGATTCTAGAGAGATTCAACATGAAATCGACTAAGCCGGTCAATACACTGTTGGCCAATCACTTCAAACTCAGGAAACGAAGTTGTCCTACGAGTCAAGAAAGAAAAGAAGCTATGGCGGGTGTTCCATACTCCTCGGCAGTCGGGAGTTTAATGTATGCCATGGTTTCTACTAGACCAGATATTGCTCACGCGGTTGGAGTTGTTAGCAGGTATCTTTCCAATCCAGGGAAGGATCATTGGGAAGCTGTGAAGTGAATCTTGAGGTACCTAAAAGGTAGTGCAAATAAGTGCTTGAGTTTCGGCAAAGGAAACCCAGTTCTTGAGGGTTATACAAATGCCGATATGGTAGGTGACCTGGATAGTAGAAAATCTACTACAGGGCTTGTGTTTACATTTGCAGGAGGAGCTGTATCTTGGCAATCTAAATTGCAGAAATCTGTTGCATTGTCGACTACTGAAGCCGAGTATATTGCACTGACAGAAGCAGGAAAAGAAATGCTTTGGTTGAAGAGGTTTCTTCAACAATTGGGAATGAAGCAGGAAAGGTACGATATCCATTGCGATAGTCAGAGCACATTGGATTTAAGTAAGAATACGATGTACCACTCTCGCACGAAGCACATTGATGTCAGATATCATTGGGTACGTCAAGCAGTGGAAGAAGAACAGTTCAAGTTAGAAAAGATTCACACTGACGAAAACCCTGCTGACATGATGACGAAAGTTATAGCAGGAGGAAAGCTTCAGCTTTGTGCCGAGTTGATCGGCATGGAATGCATGTAAAGATCTGCAGTATACTACCCTTTGGCTGGAGGGGAGAATTGTGGGATCCAGCCAACCACCATAAGCCACCATTTTAGAGTTAATAAAGAAATGAAAGTGGGTGGCTTAGTCACGCCCACCATTTTTGGAAAACGAAAAGAGCGAGGAAGGCTTCATCTGTTCACATGCATTTTCGCCTCTATAAATAGAGGGCATTTGGCAGAGCTGAAGACACACCAAGCGAGAAGAAAAAAGAGAGAGCAAGAAAAGAAATAAAAATGCTGTTTGAGAAAAATAAAGTGTTTGAGTAAATCCTGTGAGTGTGGAAAAAATACACCGGGTTGGGTATCATCTCTATTACTCCTTGTTTGTAATATTTGAATTGGAGTGGGGTCTCACTGGGTCACTATATTTTACATTTTTAGTGTAGGGTATTGTGAAAAGATATTGTAATTATCTTGAAAATATAGTGGAATTGTTCGGAGTTTGTCCCGTGGTTTTTTCCTCTACATTGGAGGTTTTTCCACGTTAAATGTTGTTGTCTTCTTTCTTGCATATTAAAATTATTTGAAATATTCTTAGTATGCACTGTGGTCGCAGTTTAATCTGATCTTCCACATCAGAAAAGAATTATTCCTGTTTGATTGCAAGAGATTTCTTTTGTCATTCTTGAGTTGTTGGGATTATTATTTTTATTCACCATTTCACAGTTGGTGTTTTAATTTACACCTTCCGCATTTGCGCACCTGAGCCCAACATATTGGAGTGTATGTGGATGCAAAAGTCAACATACATATTCTTATAATTTATTTGTCAAATAAAAATTACATTATCTTCAAAATAAATATTAACAATATAGTCGATATCCTTATAATTAATCAACAATATCATATATCAGTTTTTAAAATAACTCAACGTACTTGAAAAATGTAATAAACATTTTGAATATTCATCACAATGTATCTTTAAGAAGAGAAGAGATGTAGTAAATCATGCAAACAAGTTGGCTACAAATACAATATCAAGACGAATGTAATTTGCGAGATAAAATTAACATATTTATGCTAAAATAAACAAATTTACTTCATATCATTCAGGGATGTCAGTCCATTGAAAATTCAAGTGTAATAATTTTCTCATTAACTTCTTTGATTTTTCGTAAATCTTTGTCTAATTCAAGAGATTGGACAAAAATTGGTTGAGCAAGATACAAGATAGAAAGCAATAAAGACACATTTTTATTCATCATATCAACCATATGTATGAAGCATAATTAAAAATGTACATTAATCATTTTTATTCTAGGAGGTCTTTATTGTCTCGACCCCAAACGTGTTAGGTTGAGCAAGCATTTAGCAAAGGAAAGTACATTCTTCACCTGCATCGATCTAGTTTGACACTGAAGTTAATTAAAAATTACAAGTTAAAAATATTGTCTTTTAAATTATAATATAATGTTTTAATTAAGCACAATTTCATTGCAAATATTACCTTTGCAATAAGTATGGGCTTACCCTAACACTTGAAACTCAACCATACAAATGAGGCGCCAATCGAGGGTTTGCAAGAACAAGTAGAGGTTGGGCCTTGGGCATGGTCATCCCGTACACCTCACTCGTGTCGATGTCTTGGGGTCTCAAGCCCTCGGGTGGGCTCCAATCAAAGGCGTGTAGGAGTCGAGCCAGAGCCATTAGCACCAGTGTCACGCCAAGTGGCGCGCCTGGGCATTTTCTCTTTCCAGCGCTGAATGGAAGTATCTTGAAGTCGGAACCGTGGCTAATCTCAACTCGACTCCCATCTGCTAATAAGTGCCTCTCCGGCTCGAACACGTCAACGCGATCCCAGATCTTGGTGTTGCGGCCCAACCCATGCGTGTTGATGAAGACACGTGTCCTCTTCGGGATGTAGTAGCCGTTGATTGTGGTGGATTGGGTTGACTCGTGTGGGATGAGAAATGGGCCGGCTGGGTGCATCCGGAATGTCTCACGGACTATGCAACGTAGGTAATTGAGGTGGGCTAAGTCTGACTCTTGGACCATACGATTTGGGCCCACCACTGAGTCCAGCTCTTGTTGGGCTTTCTTCAGGACGTGTGGGTGCTTGATCACTTCTGCCATGGCCCACTCGTTGGTGACTGCTGACGTGTCTGTTGCAGCCGCTATCATGTCCTACAAAATTATCAAAATTTCCAAAGAATATTTTTTTGGCAATTAGCTATTGGTTTTAGGAGTACGCCAATTCAAAAATTTATAAGAATCAATTATTTGGTCAACAGATTCTTTTATTTACATTTTTCTTTCTCAATTTATTTAGAAACTAGTATGAGTCCCGTGCACTGCACAGGTAAGAGATATTCATTATATTTATAAATTAAAAAATTTTTATTAAATAATATTTGTAAATTAAAAATATAGAATCAAATACCTATATTAATTTGTTAAAAATATTATATAAAGTTTAAATTGTGAACAATTACATAAAAATGTCTATTTAAAATTAGTACACAACCCATGCGATACATATAACTGATAATAAATTACATTATATTCGTTTCAAAATAAGTGTCATTTCAAATTTTTTATTCAGAAATTTGATTTGACTATAATGTGATTACATAAAATAATTATTTTGGTAAAATCTTATCATATATTTAACAACATATGTGAATAATAATTATAAAAATATAAAATTTATATTGTTTCATTACTTAAAATAATTTATTTTTGTATAAACTATCAAATAAAAAAAATTAAGTAGTTGAGTAATTTATTGAACTATAAATAATTGACTATTTCATTCACGTCCAAGTTAATATTGACCCGTAAGTTATGAATAATTGTTTTTTTTTAATTTTAAGTAAAAATATGTTTATTTTTTTATATATTATATACCAAATTTAAACTATGCAACTAATAAAGGTAATAACTGCAAGTTTTGCCAATATATTATATTTCACATTTAAATTATTCAACTAATAAAGGTAATAGCCGCAATATTTGACCAAAATAATTTTGTACATTAATTACATTAACTTAGGCAGGATTTTTCAAACTTTGGCAAGAAAAAAGAATTGCCCAATTTAGTATTTCTGAATTTTTAGGCGGGAAAACCAAATATTTTTTTATTGATTTTTAGTTACTATTTCAAGTAAATATCATTGTATATTAATAGATGTCATATTTTTGTAGCGTGCTATGACACGGGATTTCACGATTTGTTGATTATTAGATATTTAATGATAAATTGTTTGAATCAAATAATTTGTTGACATTAACGTTAAAACAAAATATTATTTAGTAGTAAATTTAAATTTATATCATTCATGATATTAAATATTCAATATTTGATTTTATGTTTATATTAAGTACATATTACTTAGGTCACATAATTTCATAATTTTTAATTACTTATTTTGATTAATAATCAAATAATTTATTCCTTTTTCTTTTGAAAATCTAAGGACTCTTTTTTTTTTCTCCCCCAACGAAATGAAATGAGTCTAACTGGTAAAAGAATGTACTTTGTCAAATAATATATAATTGGATGTGATTTACTTGCCAAACATTGGATGTGATTTATTGGTTAATAAATTTGTTAAGCGGGACATGCAAAAAATTTTAAAAATATTTGCTGAAAATTGTTCAAAACGAAAAACAGAAACGGGAAAGAATGACTAAAGAAGCGGGAAATGAAATATTTTTTTCAAAGTTTTTCAAATAGTTTTTCTTCTCCTTATTATATAGTAATAGATTTCAAAATGTAAAATAATAAATATAGGAATGACCTGAATGAGTGCTTTGATCTCTACATCATCCATATGCTCTTTCCCTTCTTCACCAGGCAAAGATAATAAAACATCGACAAAATCCACGTCACCCTCATCATTTTCTCTTCTTCTTTTCCTATGTTGCTCAAGTATCTTAGAATGGAAATCATCAACTCTTTTCTCCACCTCCCTCATTTTCCTCTCACATCCAAACGGATCGATCCACCTCCAAATGGGCAGATAATCGCCCAAATAAATGAGGCCCAATAACGAAAATAACTCATGAGTTATGTGCAAGAACTCCGTGGCTTCTTGTGGGCCTGCCGATTCAGCCCCAAAATACTGCTTCCCCAACAACATTCTAGTAACGTTGTTCATTGAAAACGCACCCAATACATGTCTCATATTGACCACCTCTCCTTTTTGGGCCACATCCCACACATGTTTCACCAAGTGTTGGGCTTCATCCGCCCGGTGGCCCGCAAACGATTCGAGCCTCTTTGTGGTTAGCAGATGTTCCATACAGATTCTTCGTAAACGTTTCCATTTTGGGCCAATAGGAGCAAGTGCCACATCACCACAGCCATAGGCCAAGTGTTGAGCCGCCAGGGTTCGTGGTCGGGAGGCGAACACGTCATCTTGAAGAATTTGACGTATTATATTTGGATCGTTGGTCGTGATGGCATCAACTTGGCCTAATCGAATGTAGACCAAAGGCCCATACTGCTCACATAAGCTTGCGAAGTCCCTATGAGGCAGTTGGCCCAGTTGGAGAAGGTTGCCAAAGAGAGGCCATTTGGGTGGGCCTGGAGGTAGCCCACAAGAGTTGGGAAGAAATCGTGATCTCACCACCCTAAGGATGAAATATGAAGACAAAAGGATACATATTAATGAAAAGGTGTAATTTAGTATCAATAACTGGAAATTAGAGATCATTGAATAATCTTTATAATTGCATTTTACACAAATATAATGAAATTGATATTTATAAGTAGCCAAATTAGTTAGGTGTTAAGTTGGTTGCAAGAATGGGTAGTTATGTCACCATCTTGGCATTCCAAGTTTAGTTTAATGTCACTGCTACTAGGAAATACAATTTGCATGATTGCAGGCAACCTCAAAAACCGTAACATTTAACCATCAACCTTCCATTGACATTTTATATTTATATATCACACACTAGCACAGAAGCAAAATAAATAAATATTTAAAAAAAAATGTGTATATTCCTAAAGTTATCAAATCACACCTAGAGCTTCCACAAAGAGGCTCGAATTTGTGCTCATGTATAAAGAACAGTTTCAGGTCAGCACCTCTGATTTTGTAACCAAGTTCCATTTATCAATAACCTATAAACAAAACTTTTTAGCAAAAGAATTCCATGGCTATAGATATCTAACTTACTAGGACTATGGCTCATGCCTAATTGCTCAAGACACTATTCNAGCCCGGCCCATGGAAGACTTGAAGCCCTTGCACGAGAAAACTAGGGCCTCCACCAGCAGGTCGTACATGATGAATAGTTAGCGCATCCATCTCCCCATTTTCATGGTCATAATTTTCCTCTTCTTATGAGCCTGGTGCTTGGCTGCCATCCTAAGCTTCCTCTTGGCATTTCGTATTGGATTTACCACTGCCATCACCTTTTCTTCTCGTTTCCTCTTGTCCCGTTTTGCTTTCAGATTCTTCCTTATTTGGCTGTAGACTCCGATAAAATTCTGAACCCCTATCATGCCTTTGATGCTTTCAATGGCTTCCTCCGCTATTTGTTTCAGATCATCTGGCATCACCACCAAACAAGAGCATGAGGCAATTGACTTGTTGAAAGATATGAATTGAGACCTTAAATACTGTAATTTTATTTGGGGAATTATTTCAGTTTAATAAAATATCAATCATTGTTGTAAATTTGAAGAGCATTTACAGGCATTGGCTTTAGAAAAGGAGTAACGTCGTTTGTTCTTGTTATTTTTCTTTATTGGAAGAGCAACATCGTTTCTTCTTGTTATTTTAGCATTGTAAATTAAAAGTAATAGAAAAGGAGTATTTTCCTAATATATATATATATATAAATAATTCCATTCTTATGACTCGACTTTGTTGATAAGGACAACTCAAAATTTTGTATACTTGGTTAAAAGACGCATGCTTATCTTTGTGGACAAAAGAAATATGTTCATTTTCTGATAACTAAATTGTATACTATTTCCACTATATAATTGAGCGCGTTTAAAATGCAACTATTCTATCTGTGGACAAAAGCAGGTATTTCTTTGCCGCATTTTAAACTGGCAACATGAACAATAGACTGAGCCATTTATAAACACATGTTAGAAATAGGAACAGCAATAGTTACCTGTAACAACCATTCCGGTATATCCTTCAGAGACTCTGTACAACGGCAAAAGTATATGATATGCATAGCTATGCAAGTCATCACTGCCAATTGCTGAAAGCTCTCCATAACCACCAAGGAGTTTTGGCGAGATCAATTTGAAACAATTGAACACAATTTTTATCTGCACGAAAGGTTTGGCACACCATCAATAAAATAAGGACGATCATAATATCTGAAATATATGGCATGGTGGAACTTATTAATACAAGAACCCTATGGGATGCAATTCTGTCAATCTATTGACCTGATTGAGAAATGTAGGATGACTTACAGAAAGTAAATAGGGATACAGCCTCATTCGTAACAATCATGGTATGGAAAAACACGAAGAAAAAGAAAAGGAAGGTAGATCATAATTTAAATACCCTCTGAAGGTAAATAGGAAGGGAAAAAAAAAAAAACTTGAAATTTATATTTGATGAAGAAATACTCCTTAAAAGAGCAAAATTTTAATAATAGAAATAAAAAATACCTGATGTATAAAACACACTCAGGTTATTTGTTATGAAACTAAAACTCAATAATAACAATCTTTTAAATAAACCCAAAATTGTTTTGCCAAAAATACAACTCCAAGTGATGAAGCACAATCTTGCACAAGTTAGTTTATAAGAAAAAAAAAAATTCCAAAATCAACTGCTAATTGTACAATATAGACATTGTTCTCAAGAAAGAAAACCTGAGAAGCCTCCATCTGAAATGCAATCTTTCCCATTCTCTGAAGGAGAAGTGAGATAAATGGATGGTGATGCTTATTTTGCTGGCCACTGGCATCACAAGTCAAAGAAGTCAGTGTCCTCCTTCCTTTTCTTGGATCGAGAAGCCCAAAAGCTTTAAGAAACCTGTCTTGTTCAACCCGGTCAAGGCTTGACCAGAACGTTGAAACATCCATGCACTTGTCATTTTCAAAAATAGCATGAAGCCCACAAACTGCAAATACAAGGTTTTGCAAAATAACTGTGCCAGCACCATCTTCAATCATTGGCACCTTCAGTTGACAACATAAGCAAACGGCTGTGTGGAAAAGTATGCTTGGTTTCATAAGGACAAATTTTTCCATTAACAATTTATCTTTGCAAGCATCAGTTACTGCAGCAAAGTAATGAGACAAGATCCGGTTTGATATGGTGCGTAACCACATGTGCGGATGCAATAGGTACGAGGAGCAGAGAGATTCCCATATGTCCTGTTAGAAGAAAGAGAAAAAAGCATATCAAAATCTCACAAAAGTCTATTCACATGACAAAGCAAAAAGATAACACACAGATAAGAGTGATTGTACTCGTTATCAAGGAATATCAAAACTCATTTGAAAAAGGTCCTATGTAAAACCAAATAAGCAGCATATGGAAATTCTCAACTCTACATTATTATCACCAGGAGTTCATGAAACCTCCAACAGAAATGCCAAACCTCCAACAGAAATGCCAAATGTAATCATAATATAATATAATGTAATATATTCACATTCCCTCAAACTAGGAAGCAATTCATTAAGAAAAACATGCGTACACCAAAGTCAAATGACTTAAGACTTCAGGAAAAAAATTAAAACACTCCTCTCTCAAAAGGATGTAGTGAACAAAATAGGGCAGAAATAGTACACCAACAGAGAATAACATGAGTACCTCAAGATCCTTATCAAAGAACATATCATGGAACTGCTTCAGGATCTTCTCCAATAAAACTAATGAATAATATGCCTCCTTCCAGAATGGAACAACGGCTTCATCTGATAAATTTTGTTCACTTGATGTAAGAGAGGAGACAGCAGACTGAAAAATGCTTCTCATTACTGGAAACACTTTATTAAGGTGTTTCTCAAAACTTTTTCCCATTACTTCCAACAGTAAACCCAAAACCTGTAAAAGAAACAATGAATTAGTGAATTAGTGATACAGAGAAAAATGTGCGTACCTTCTACTCGAATGTGGAATCAAAAGATTTTATTTTTACAAGTTCACCCAAACAACAAAATCATTTAAAGAAAACTTTGTTTATTAAGTGCATGTGCATAATTAGACTGCTTTGAATATCGTCTAGGCTAGGACTGCAAACGACTCGACAGGATCGCAAGTGCTCGAATCAAAGCTCAACCCAGACTCGAGTTTGACTTTGATCGAGCTCGAGCACCTCAAACCGAATTTTATAAGCTCGAGTGCTCGATGAGCCGCTTGAGAATAAGCATAATTTACCTAAATACCCCTAACTCGAGCTAAAATAGAGCCAAGCAGAATAGACATTGTATTGAAAATTCAAGCCAATATAGAGCATTTCTATGTTTTTTCCAAGTCGAACCGAGCCTTGAAAAGCTTGGCTCGTCAGCTCGAGCAAGAGCAGCAGTAAAAAAAAAAAGTCTGGCTTCATAAGGCCATTGCTCAACTCTAGTCTGGGCAATGAATCCCACAGGTAAGACAAATAAGTTTCTCACTGAGTAATAATAGCTTAATGGCCATATTGTGTCACTCAGTCATATCATGGTAATATTGTGTCACTACTAGGGAGTTATTGTGGTACCATTCACCATCCTAACTTACGATTTAGACTCGAAGAAAAAACCATTAATGACAAGTATATCCACGATTACCATCCACAATAAATTGAAAAAGGGCCTTTCGGAAACTGTGAAAAATCAAAACTGTGAAGTTGAACTTCACATGTTGCAAACCAACGTGTGTGTCATTCTATTTCTTCTACATGGAGCCAAATGTTAAGATTGCTACTTAGAGATCACAAAAACAGTAAAGGAGAAGAAACAAGATATTCTCCTCACGGTAAAAAGGCAACATGTGTTCATATTCCTCAATATGGTCCCAAATACAGAAACGAGATAATCTTTCTCGAAGTCAATACAAGTTTCTTCTAGAAACATTACCTGTGCAGCAGCAGCCCACAGATTCTGTTTGTCCCCAAGGTACCAAGACAGACTATACTCAAGAATAGATTGAAGCGAATGCAAGCTCACATGCCCAATGAGACACTTCATTGCAGCAGCAGCCATGGAGCGAACTTTACTGTCCTCATCATTTGTCAAAGAAACAACTAAGTGCAGAAACAATGTCTGAGATTGTGTGTCTACAACATTTTTAGGAAATTTTATTATAATTGCATGAAGCATCTCAAGAACAGCTTCCCTTCCAGTAGAATGCTCGTATCTGGAATAAATACAAGTTAAATAAATAATTCATAACGGACAAGAAAACAATATTCTCAACGCCAGAAAGTTCACCTCAGGTTGGCAAGTAAAAAGTCGAGATGTTGCTGTAGACGCTTTTCCGAAAGATGGTAGCCAAGTAAAAACTGAAGTAAGATTTGACTACACTTCTTACGAATAGGTTCGTGTTGACTTTGTATCATCAGTTCTGCCACAATCTGAACAACATCATATATCTCTGGGACCACCAGTTTCCGGTTGACAATGGCTTTCAAAAGAGAAAGGGCAACAAAAGTGGGATTCTTTGCCAAGTCAACAAACAAGGGGAACTGAATCAGCATATGCAACTGATCAGCTGAAAGAGTAACTCTAGTGCTACGCAGCAGCATGGTCAACAACTTCAGACATGACTCCGTCAACAGACTGGTAGCAGTTACAGACCCTTGTGCAATAACCAACAATGAAGTTTTTATCTTCTCAGCCTCGGATTGAAAGGATGGCAAGGGCAACCTGACTAGCACCGACAAACACCGAAGTGCTGAAATTATAATGTTTTCATGCTTGGAACTCAAGCACTGGCCCAATAAACTGACAAATGGGTCTAGCAGTGACAACAGTAGTTCATCTTCTTTGTTAAGTTTCAATGTTTTCATGTAATTCTGCAGAACTCCAAGAGAAAATGCTGTTATCAGATGAGAAAATTGTCTATCAACATTGACTAATTTGTTGGAATGAATTGCCCGCACACTCTCATCATTTTTGTTGGTTTTGCTACTGGAAATATAACTATTTCCATGTCCGTTTCCTTCATCATCAATACCATCTTTGATAAGGCAATTGACAAATATAAACAGCTCTGTCTGATTCACAGAAGGATTGCATTCAATGCCAGAAGCAATGTGATTTAACATGTTCTCTAGTTTCACTTTAACTTTCTGTGTAAGCTGCTTATGCAGCTGAGCTGTGACAGGAGAAAGCAGTTTCAAAGCGCAAGTCTTGAAAGTGATGCTCTGAGCAATCAATTTGAGAGTTTCATAAGACTTCTGTTTCCTGGTTTCTTTCATCTTTGAAGCAATCTTGTCCACCTCTTTCTCTTCAGAAACATCCCCAAGGATATCATTCTCTACAACAGAAAGAAGGTCCTCCAAACAGTAGTCCAACCTTCCAGAGATTGGATTTTTAATGAACTTTGACAACAAGAAATTGAGAGTGTACCCCAGAACATGCAATTCATAACCTCTCTTCAAAGTGCTCTTCAGAACTTTGACAATGAATTGCAAGTACTCCAATCCTAGCTCCTTTAAGCAAGCTGCCAGTGCAGACCTAGCTTCATCCCGCACACTTTCTAGCCGATTCTTTAGGAAGTTTGATATTCGGTGAATAATAGTCGGAAGTTGCGAGTCCATTATTTCACCAGGGAGCAACTTCAGAATTTTAAGTGCAACCAGGCTCATATTGACGTTGATGTTGTCAGAGTTGGAGGCCAACAACTTTTGAATCATGGGGAACAATTTTTTGTGCAAGCACATCTGTACTTCAGGAAGTTCAACAGAATTGGTGGACTTTCTCAATTCTAACAAAGATCTCATATTGATGGTATACGGATCAGGAGTATCAGAAGCAGAATTTTTGGCTTTATAGTCCAAAGATGACTCTGAAAAATGGAAATGGTCAAGAATCGAGCAGATAAGCCGCAGCAAAATCTTTTGCTTGTCTGGTTTGAGTTTCAGATCATTGAAGCAACTAAGTAACAAGCCATAATACCGATCCCACTTCATGCGACCAGAAATGGATGCCAAGGCATCCACACATGCGCTCTTGATATGTTCATCTTTTCCATTTTCAGCATCAAATAACATGTTCAAAAGCAGTGGGACAAACACTTTATTTGTGATGACCTACAATTTCACAAGTTCACAGCACAAGATTAGTGATGCAACATGTGTGAGTTTTTTGTCATCATAAAAGAAACAACTATACCTCTGAAAGATTCCCAGAACTGACAATGTTCCCAAAGAGAGACACTGCCTTTGCTCTCCTGTGTTTCTGCATTAAGGAAAATGATATTAAAACAGAGCCCCGTGAGTATGAACAAGTGTGTTAGTTAGATAAGGATTTTACAGCAAACTTAAATTCAACATATACCTGTAAGTGAACTATGTTTCTGAAGAAGTCTTGTTCTGCATCATCACAGCATAAAGCCCTATATGACTCAAGATTTGCCACCTTGGGGATTTTCAGTATCATCTCTCGAAGCAAATCAATCCATACCTAGTAACAATGAATACAATATTTAGGGGATGAATCATCGTTTTTAATGAATACCATCATATAACCACCAGGAAGCAAATTATTGGCACATAGAGCAGAGGGTGCTGCTTGAAAGTTCCATAACTAAGCTGGAGCTCTATTATTGCTCGACATATAATAGTTCTATTAATCCCCACTAGCGCATAAACCCTCCATGCACATTTCAGATAGTTATTTTTTATCAACAGACAGAATGCATCTTCCATGGAATATATAAAATTTCTATCCATTTTATAATCCACAAACTACCAATTTCCAATGTTCCCACGTCACATTCAAAGGAAATTACTGTTTGAGATGCATGGAAACGGACAATAATTTAATTCAAAGAAAATTATAGTTTAGTACTTTAGACAACTAAAACAATACTTCACTACTGCACTTCACTCCATCTTTTTCCTATTACAAATTGTAGGCCGGGAAGGGAGTACGAATTTGAGAGTAGAGAAAGAGATTGGAGTGGAAGTGCATCGATCCTAGGCACTACTAGTTACTAGGCTGGGTTTTTTCTCAATACCTAGACACTGAGCTACACTCAAATGTATCACCCATCTCCTTCCCTAGATAGCTTTCAAAACCCATATTAAGACCATGTTTGGTAAGTAAAAAGGTAGATGAAACAGAAGGAAATCCACTTCCTAATCCTAGAAATCTGAAGTTCATGAATAGGGATAGATGCAAATAGCTAAAACAAATGAAAAGGAACCGAGAAAAAAATTGAAATATAAGGAAAAATATAGCTAGACGAACTCTAAGAAACACTGCAAGCACAAATTTACTACCTTTTTCACAGCACTCTCCTTAATCATTGCATTTCTCATATGCTTCAAGAAGAAGTTGTTCACTAAGCGCTGAATGCTGGTTTCTGACCATATCTGGTCAGGTTTCAGAGATCCACTCAGGATCTCACCAGAAAATTCAATGAAGGAGAGCAACAATCTGAATGCACTTTGCCGTAAGATCAGCTCTTCCGATGACATGTCATGAACAGCATGAGCCAAGATTGGCAGCGCATGCTCCTCAGAAATGGTGCAAAAGAATCTCACATTGATCTTGTCATAAGCACAGAGCACTTTGTCATAGTCAAGAGCACCCATCTCCACTTCTGAGGTTGCATTCAGTTCACGAAGAATTTGTGCCTGAGAAATGCAGGTAGAAAGAGACAGTGTGACAATTTAGCCTTTTTTTTCCACTCCTTTAGTCTTCCATTGGATGAAAGATTGTTTGTTTGGGAAATCAAGAATGAACTTCGAAAGTGCGAATGAGATGAAAATATAGTGATTGATCATTGATGGATGATTGATGTGACAGGTATTGGAAAATTAAGAGGGTTTATTTTTAATATAGAATAATAATGATGATAGAATGTCAAAGAAATCCAATACGATGCCTTTATTTGATTGGGTGTGGCTGATGTAAGAATTGTGAATGAATGAATTGCTTTTTCACACACAAGACATTTAAAGTTTCAGCAAAAAATATATTTTTGGGCGAAACCTTAACAAAATTTGGAGGCAATCAATGGCGCAACCTCACTGTTCTTGCTCTCATCAAGGAACTAGGCAGAATTAAATGTAAAACCAGAAGAGCAACATACCAGTATAAGAACAGACGAATCATTTGCTGCGACAGAATCCAGAACATCACATATAGAATTACGGACGACCAAACCAGCAGAAATAAGCAGTGGTGTTATCGAAATCAAGACTTTTTTACTGCTACCACTCCCCATCACTGTTACCAATTGTCTGATCATTTGCAGAATATCAATGCATGTATCTGCAACAGGAACAATCAAACTTTCCATATGTGCAATGGTTGAATGGCATAACCAAAATAACGTAGGGTAACACTGTTTCGACAGAGCCATGTCGGGTTAGGAAGAAATTTTAAAGAAAATCATAAAAGTTAACTATTTATTACATGTTTTGTATGCTTTTTTCGGCTTACACAGGAACTGGGTGGGCCAGGAGCCCGCTGATCGGGCAAGCCTTCTACATCCATTTCGTATATTACTAAAGAGCACAACCTTGAAATATTGTATATAGAAACTAACCGAAATTCTGAGATGTCTTTGTAAGAAGAGGGAACAACATATCAATAAATGTTTCGGCTGCTGAAGTTTCTTGTATATACTTTGATAACAAGCTGAAGATAGTGAAGTCTCTTTTGCCAGGAGACTTGGCCAACAGCCTGCGAGGTAAAATAAAATGACCAAGAAATAAGTAGATAAATCAAATTCCATTCAGTTTCGTTCATCCATTTCACTTTGTTCTCTTCCCTCCATTAACAATTTTCAATACAATTTTAAAATTAAACATCGATCATTAGTTCATCACTACACACCATAAAGAATAGGCTCACCTCAGATGGAGAATGCAACTAATTCTAACAAGCAAAAGAACATTAAGAAGAGGGAAGAAATATCAAGGACTCGTATGCATAACCTGAATTGAGGAAAAAAATGTTCGTAAGCTACCTTTTAGTACCATTGCCACTTGTGAACACGCTATGCAAGCTGCTTATAAGCAGCTCCAGATGAGGAAGCAGAACTCTTTTCACACTAGTGTCTTCACTACCCAGTTCGCTGTCAAGCTTCAACAAATTTTTTATAAACTTCAAAACACAGGATAAAATTGATTCCGAAGCTGACGGGACAGTAAGCATTGAAATAATATCAGGGACCAGACTCTTTTCCCTGACTAGAAGTGGCACAAGCTTGTAATTTTTGCTCATTGCAAGGAAGCAATAAAACAGCGAACTAGGCTTCTTGCTACTGGCACCTTCTTGCCTAAAATTAGCTATTAAAGGTCCAATTGACACAAAGAATGTGTCCCAAAATGCACCACCAAAATCATGATCCTCATATTTACAAAGAACACCAAATATGATTTTAAGGCATAAGGATCTTAAGTCCTTCTTCACAGCTTTCCTCTCCTGCAAACAAGAAAGGTGTATTTATTAGAATGGTTTCCAATTAGGAAAATGCTACATGTACATAATAAATGTACATAGAGGTGTACATAACACTCACATGGAGTGGGGTCCACTTGATTTTTTTATTTTTGGTAGGTCCCACTCAATGTGAGTGTTATGTACACCCATATGTAGAATATTATGTACAGATAGCATTTCCCTTCCAATTAATACATAGTGGCTCTTGAACGAATTTCTGTTGACTGAAAGCTCGAAATGGGAAATAAAATTTCATTAGTAAAAATTTCTCCCAACATTTTAGAATGTCTAATAAAAGAAATAATGCCACGCACAGTTCCTCAAAAGGTTGAACTACATGATGACATGGAAAAAGGAAAGAATCAAACAGAAGATCGCAAAGCACAAAAGAAATGTTGGTTTCAATCTGAATCTTACCGTGTTTTTATCCCCCACGTCATTGTGGTCGGATGCTTCCGAGTTTAAGCTAGAATAGTTATCCACAGAAGATGATTCATCGCCAAAGGAAGATGTGCAGCTTGCTAAAATCCGCACAACAAAATGCATCAGTAGATTAAGAAAAGGATTGACGTGAGGTTCATCAAAAACTGTGAAAATATCTTCAACAACGTGCAGAAAACCATATATTTTCTTCCAAGATAGGGCCATTATGGTATCCATTGTAAAATACTTCAAGATCTCAGACTCATCAGTCTCGGCCTTGTGAATTTGGGGTGAACTCCAGAAACTTTTCGTGTCCCCACAGTCACTTTGAGGAATAGAAAGTAGTGGTTTAATTAACAGCCAGAAGAATAGAGGAAGTTCGTCAACATCAAGCTGGGTTAAGAATCCAAGAACTGCCCTTCTATGATGTCCACTTGCGTTCTGTAAAGGAAAATATGCACCACATTGACTTTTGGTTCAGATAACAGCAGAATAAGACGGGAGGATCCACTAAAATTTCCAAGTATTAAATTACCTACCTTATTTTTAACTTTTGGCATTAGCGTTCGTATGACTATAGGTACAATATGAGCTCTATGCCGGATATCAATAGATTCCATGGAAGTTCTGGATAAGTTCCATCTTGTAAGCTCCTCTCTTAGAGTTTTTGCATTGATCAGGTTTTTAAGATTCTCAGCATATGGAAGCAAGAAATCGTCTTTCCAGTTCAACAGGCAATCAAGAACCAACATCTGTATATCAGCATCATTCTGATTGAGAAGCCTAAAACACAAATAACATGAGCACAAGAAAATTTACATCAGTAAACTATAAAAATAAAAAAAAAAATAAAAAAAAAATTAAATAGGGACTTGGAGAGCTGATGGTAGGAAACACAGGCACAAATGAACTAGAATAGTGTATCACATCAACAACCACAACTTCTAGAGAACATTCCAATATCTACTGCTGAATTTGACAATGCCAGTGCACAAATGGAACACCAAACCCCACCTGTACTGGAGGACATCCCTGAAAAAATGACTTTGATATAAAGATTTAGGGTTCCGGAACAGTTTGAACAAGCTTAACCACTCTTTTAGAGCCCCTTCCCATTTTTTGTCCTCATGATCCCGTGTATGTGACTCAACACTGAGTTAAAACAAAGAGATAGATAGTCAAATATAGAAGATAATAATGTTATACGTAGCTTTATATAAGCAAGAAGAGTCGACATTATTATAGACAAATCAAATATTGAACTGACCTTGTGATTTCACCAACACTGTAGCCTAAGAATTTCAGAAATAGAGGTACTATTTGCCGAGAATGAGATTCAACTACAGATGGAACTCTTTGTAAAGTCTGAATCAAGAGGGATAAGACTGTTGTTGATGGAGTACTATCAAATACAGTGAAAATATCAGCAGTGAAGCATCCGACCAAACCTACAAAATCAACAACAGAATCCAAATAAATACAAGCCAGTGGTGACATGATCAGCATTCACCCATATCACATAAGATATTTGTGTGTAGACAGAGTTGCTTTTCTCAGGGAAAAGTCTCATCACGATTTTCTGTTGTAAGAAATAGCTGCTCAAACTAAACAGGGACCAGAGCACTGATTCTCATAAGAAAAGAAAGACACATTTCGTCCTAAAATAGAACATTACCAGTAACCTTGTCAGAATGATGATCTCCATGTTGATGATTAGATGCTAAGAAAACAGATTGACAATGATCAAGATACTCGATGTATCTGCTCCACACCAACCGAGAATATTGGCCAACAAGGACAGCGAGGCACTCTAAGGCTGGAGTCCACAAATAGCTAAAACGGTTGTGAAATATTCCAATTATTCCACTTAAAACTACAGGAATATACTGGTCCGCAAGTCTCTGAGAACTAAGACTCATCTGTATTTTAGATATTCGCAGAGTGACTTCACGACTTGTGGCGATTGAAAGTTCAGTCTCTTCAATCGATCTGAGAAGGTTGAGAACCTAGGATCCAGAAAGAACCAAATAAGTTGTATGCATCAACTTGTGAAATTGCATACATTAATTATACTGTACTTACATTATTGAAGTCATCCACATGACTAGCCTCAGAAACATCAATTGGGGTACTATCTTCAACAGGAAGCTTTTCCTTAGACTGTTGACGATGTAAAGGTTCATAATGGCACAATATGCAAATGGTAGAAAGGCGAATCTCTCTGTTGGCATGGCATAGATTTTCAGCGAATATGTCCAATGCATCCAACGTCTTTCCAGCTATATATTCTGGAAAATACAATTGCCATTTTCTATCTTGTGAAATAGGAAACCTGCACATTTTTTTTATTCCGTTACATAATTTCACAGAAGCAGAAGGCTAAATTTGACAGAACCAAAAATGGAAAATTATTTACAAAATAATCATCTTACTCAAATAATGAATGCACAGATTCGGCCACTGCAGATAAAATCTTAGGTGACAACTTATATCGTTTCACAAGATCCAAAAACTTGATAATTGCAGACTCATCATGAGCATTTTTCCTGCTGAAAACTAACTTATGATAAGCACGCAGAGCAGCAGCAATCAGGCTATACCAAGTGCTTTCCTGGAAACCTGAAAGATCTACACAAAAATATCGGCTAAGCATGTATGGACCAAAGCAACATATCAGCAGAATAGCAGATATATCCGAATAGAAGAACAGAAAATCTTCTGAGCAGTGTACTGACAAGTTCTCTGCAAGCAACATCTCAAGTAGGATATATTCAATTCTGTGGAGCATGTTATCAGAAGTGACTAGAAATTAAAGGGGTACAATTATCATAACATCATAACTAATAACCATGAGAAGCTCAATCAGATATCCAGAAAGGATCATACCCAAACAATTCATTACAGCACAATAGCAAACAAAATAGCATCTTTCCATGTAAATAATCAACTATGGGACAATCATATAATTATCATAAAGAATATCTTACTTGATCCGACCATCAGAAGCTTGTCAATTACATTTATCAAGTCCATAAGTAAAGATGGATTTGCTTCAGCATCTGCAAAATGAGAATAGCACCTAATAACACCCCATAGGACTGCCAACTCATTTTGTTGAAATGGAACGGCAAATAAATTTCCTTTTACAACTTCATTGATTTTTCTAATCCAACAGTGAAGAGTCTCTTGAAAATAATTGCAGATCACAGAGAGTTCTTCAATGGATTCCCCATCCATAACGCTAGAGCTTCCGTTTGCAAATTTCTCGCACAACTTTACCATCAGATATAGAACCTCTTCTTGGGATATTTCTATCAAATTACTGAATGCACTGCAATAAAATAAGAAACCTAGATTAAAAAACAATAATTTAACGATGAACAGAAAAGTACTTGTAGTAAGTAGATTACCGTATAATATGTGTTCGAAAGACATGGAAAATACTACGGTCCTTCATCAGAAGATTTTCAATGAATGTCAATAAACTGTACACAAAGCATGTGTGAGGCCAATGAGGAAAAGAGGTCAGACCCTAAATTAAGCTCTTTGATTTAAGTTAATTCGGATGTTCAACTGAAAGCAATACCTTCTATTCCTTATATCAAATACTGACACCCATTGTGAAGAAACTAGCCGCAAAGCTGCCATGTTGTTAGTAGCTAAACCACCAATAATGCAAAGCATTAGGTCTAGAACTTTATCGATGACCTCATTGTGTGTGTCCTCTGTGTCCACAACCTTCATGGTACAATGAGAAGCAAAATAAGTTCGCACCAGCAAACCTACTAATTCAACCATGGCTCCATAATCTGGAAACACATAACATCCTCAAGGTCAGAAAATAAAAATGATAAGGTGATGGTGAGTAAGTGCAAATAAAAAAATGTACAGGGATATCCTGTTGAAGCCCACCAGAAATTTTCCCACGATTATCATTCTGCAGTATAGAAATAAGCAGAGTCAAGAGACGACTCAGGTGTACGAAGTTTCCACTCCCAACAGAATCTGCTATCTTTTCACACAAGCATTTCCATATAACAGCCAATTGCAGCCCATCTAGATCCTCATACAGTCTCTCAAAGGCCAGAGTCAGAACTTCAAGAAAAGCTCTTGAGCCTGAACAAGTGTAAAGATATTAAGACTAAATAACAGAATCTAGTGACAGAAATAGGCAAAGACTCACAAACCAAGTATCATCAGATATATAGACTGAAAACATGATTTTATAGCAACTAAACAATGTACATAAGTTCAAAGGTGGTGTCATGTATCTACATCCTTTTGATATCATTTCCAATCTAAGAACATGCCATCTCTAGTCAATAGTCATATACTCTCTGTGTCACTGCAAATGTCATATCTTTTTCAAGAACATCCACAGCAAATATCGCCATTAAGAAAAATAATTTCCATATATAAGTCCCCAAATATCTTTCCAGTTGGATTACAGGCTTAAACTCGCTCCCCATTTAACATGTCTCGTTTCTATGCAGATAGAACCATCAGGTAGTGGGATGCCTAAATCTTCAACAAAGTGCGGATGCGGAAATGTCAGTCACATGGAGCAAGAGTTGTACTTAGTGCATAAAAAGTACTTCTTTCCAGTTAGTTCCCAAACAACAAGATAAACATCTTTAACAAGTACAAATAGCACCTTCAGGAGGTCTATTGAACTCTCATAATGGGAGTAACTGTTTCTAACTTTCTAATAATAGCGAAACAGCCTAATCACGTGCATCTAATTAGCTTTTAATGTGACCTTCCATAAGTAACAACACTTCTACAACACTGACTGGAACCTGACAGCTTAAAAATGTTTATAAGCAAGTAAAACTTAATAAGGATCAAGAGTGGGGAAATACAAACCTTCAACACTTAGATCACAAACTTGGAAGGAAGAGTCGTCCACCAGTAGTGGCAATAACGCTTCAGCCTTTGAGTGCAATCTTGATGAGGTAATTCTCATTACATGAGAAAGTAATGCAGCAACGCCAGATTTTTTCATTTCTGAAGGTTCCTCTTCAACTTCAGCCATGAGTATCATAATATCTATTCAATTGATAAAATTGATAGTTTGTCAGCTAAAAGAATTTTGAACCTAACCCCGCTACAGAAAATATCAAAGTAAATTTTTGCATCCCATGCATTATGAAGGTAATGATCCCTAAAAATGGAAGGTTGTCAGTAAACATTGCTAAAGTATAAGATGGATTGTATTCGCAATATGTCGGTCTTAAGCAATAAATATAAAGAACCATGCATGCCCATCTTTTACTTAGAACAAAGCTTGATGAGACAACCAAGAGATTAAACATGGTACATTCAATGTGGACAACTAGAATGCATAATAATATTGCGAGATTCAAACAGTCACGGTCAGATACTATTTTCTCGAAACAGACACAATATCCTCAATCTATAATTCATGAGTTCAGAGAAACAATACTAAGATATGCACTTTTATACAAAAACTGTAGACATGCAACAGTCACCAGACAACATCAGTTTCGCAATCTCCTACTTCACCTGTATAAGAATGACATCTCATCATCAACTACAGTGTTTTCAGTTAACACTAAGACCCATATAAAAGGATGTTTCTCAATTATGCTTTCGTCAGTTACACCTTCAAGCACAAAGTAGGACACACAGCAGCTTTATGCTTAGACCAATATGCTTATATAACAAGATTATTTTTCCAAGTAGCAAAAGGAGAAAAAATGTGTTCAATCTATACAAAATGAAGTAGATGAATCATAGAAAAAGGCAATACCTTTTCTCAGCTGCTGAACTGGTGTTTTTCTCAAAACAAATGATACAGACTCGGCCATAAACTCTCGGACATAATCTTTTGGGTAGTATCTCAAGTTTGCAGTAACTCTGCAAAATATAAGGAGCACGGAGCAAAGATAAATATTTCCACATTAGGAAACCTTACAGATTCACATCACTACTAATAATGCCTTTTAGTTAAACAGTAAGATGAATGACAGGAATTCCCTATACATGTTAAAGAACCAGTAACATCTTTCACACATTTAAGACCTTACACGTCCTTCACAATCATCTATGTTCTTAGAATCAAATAAACTTTATTTAATAAGGGTTGTATTCGAACGGGATTTTGAATGACATTTTGAGACTCTTTGAAATTTTAGACTTTTTAAGATTTTTAGATTTAGATTTAGGAAGAAACCTATGAAATCTGAAGTCTGGAGGCGAGATTTGAAATGGGATTTCGCATATGGTTTTATTAAATGAAATCCAAGAAAATCTTAAAAAGTCCTAACAAATCTCATCTAATACTTCATGATTTTGTAAGACTTTCTAAAATCTCAAATGAATACCTCGAGACTTTTAAAAAGCCTTTAAAAACTTAAAAAATCGATTCAATCTAAACTAGAGACTTTTTAAGACTTTTAGATTTCTGGTGTATTCAATTAGAACTTTTTGACACTTCTAAGAAGTTCATGAATTCAATTGAGACTTTTCAAGATTTTTTATAAATCTCTAAAAGTCTCAAGTATTCAATTAAAACTTTTTGGGAGTTTCTATAAGCCACCCAGTATTCAAATTATGAAGACTTTATGAGATTTTTTAAATTACAAGACTTTTCGAGACTTTTGTAACAAAATTACAAAGACATAGTTCTAGCAGAAATCTCGTCAAATTTGTAAGATTTGTTGGACTTATGTGACTCTTCATACTCTCTTTTCTCTATATTGTTAATGTAGATGACTTTATATCTCTTGTCACTTTCATACTCTGGTTTACTCGTTTATTTTGATAGCTTGTACGTATAATTCATAACAATTAACTACTAATATCAACAACTTATTTAAGGTTTAAGGTTTATCAAACTAGAAGGCCAATCTGAGCCGAGCTTTCACGATCTTGAAGGAGTCGAAGTCGAGCAGGGCTTTATATTCGTTTGTTAAATAAGCAACTCATTCAAGATATACTAACTAATTGTAGATTTATTTTATTTTTTATATTTTTTTTGCATCATGTTGCATTACTAGAAAAATATTATTATGATATATTTTTACAAGACACAACATTGTCAATAGACAATAAATGTATCTTCTAAAGTTATTAATGAATAATTCTATATCAACAAATAAACTCTTAGCATATAAAATTAATATTTTATTATTTGAAACTGGAAATTTACAAACAAAAAAAGATAGAATAAATAAATTATTGGCAGGTGCAAACTATACACGCATTTAGCCTTTGAAAAGTCAAATTCACAAGCAAACAAAATGAGATGATAAAGTATACACACATAAAATAATCATAATAAAAAATAAATAAAAGAAAAATCACGTTAAATATTAGTGATGAACATAAAAATTATAAGCTATCAAAATAAATGAGTACAATAACATAGTATGAAAGGGATATAAGATATGAAGTCGTTAACATTATAACAATATAGAGAAAAGAGAGTATGAAGAGTCATATAAGTCCAGCAAAAGCTCACTAATTTGATGAGATTTTTGCTAGGGCTTTGTTTTTGTAATTTGGTTATAAAAGTCATTAAAAGTCTTAAATTTCAAAAGTCTCTTCTTCCAATTTTGAATATCAGGTGACTTATAGAAACTAAGAAAGTTTTAATTGAATACCATGAAACTTTAGAGATTTATAAAAAGTTATGAAAAGTTTCAATTGAATACATTTAAATTTTTCAGAAGTGTCAAAAAGTTTTAATTGAATAGACCAGAATTTTGAAAATTATAAAAAGTCATTCGTTAAAATTGAATACATCCCTATTAATGTTATTTTTTTTTCTTATTTTTTTGTTATGGTTATTTTATGTGTACTTTTATTCTCCAATTTTGTTTAATTGTAAATTTGACTTTTTAAAGGTTAAATGCTTGTATAGTTTGCACATGCCAATAATTTATTTGTTCTTTCTTTTTTTTCTGTAAATTTCTATTTTCAAATATTAAAATATTTATTTTATTTGATAAGAGTACTTTATCTGTACATAATTGTTCTAAGTATTATTGATAAATTTAGAAGACACAATTATTGTCTTTTGATAATATTTGTGTGTTGTAAAAATATATTCTAGTAATATTTTTTTAATATTTCAACATGATGCAAAAAAAACATAATAATAATCAATAATTAGATAAATATATCTGAATTGAGTTGATTATAAATGTCATTGTAGCAGAGTTAGGTAACACATGTTTGATTTTGTGCTCGTTTAACAAACGAATATAAGGTCATGCTCAAGTTCGACTCGATGAAGCTCGTGAAAGCTCGAATCGGCTTGCTCGTTTAATAGACTTAAAATGTGAAACAAGTTTTCGAATTTCGTGAGCTCAGTTCGAATAACAATCCTAGGGTTGATACATGCTTTTTTATGATTAATCTACAAAACCTTTTTTTTCTTTATTCTTATTCTTGTTGAATAACTAATGGTTACTATCATAACTCATTTAGGGTTTAACATTTTTCTTTAAAGAAAAAACTAGTTTGACTTTATTAATATTATTTGTTATGCAACGTTCATGAACATTTCACTCAAACATAATATTATACCTACAAATATTTAAAAGTCTTAATAAGTTTCAAAAAGTTTATAATGAAAGTCTTAAAAAGTCTCAAATAAAAATTCTTTGAAAGTCTCAAACTTGTCCAAAGTTTTACAAAGTCCAGAAAAGTCACCCAATTTAAAAAGTCTTTAAGAATCTCAATTGAATATACTCCTTAAACACACCCGAATTTCTAAAATCTTACAAAGTCTTTAGAAATCTCAACCAAATACACCCCCACAAATTTTTCATGATATTGAACTGTCAATTGTAGCATCTGAATTTATCATTATATATAGAATTATAGTACATATTTAGAAAGAAAAGATAAAACCTAGAACTGTTAAAATAACCCTTATATAAGGTGTAAACTACCTTAGAACATATCCAACATCCTTCATAAGATACTTCTGCAGGTACATCATGATATATGACCATGACGTAAATATCTGCAATTAACAATCACAACCTTCAAAGATCATATGCTCCCATAAATAATGCATCAATTATACTACTAATAGAATATATAGAAAGATTCCAAGACCTGCTCAATTATCTCAGGGTCCCTGTCAGCACCACTTTCAAGAAGAGTGCCAAAGGAATCAGCAATTCTTTGAAGAAAGCTGCAAAACAATGAATTAATAATAACAATAAATTAGTGTTGCGTGGCAAAATATAGTGACATTATCAAGCTTTCTATAATCAATAATAAATTTCAGTGGTTGATTCTCAAATAAAACTAGCACCAAAACCCTACGTCAATGGAACCAATCAACATAACTTGATCACCTATTGGAGGAATTTAGGGCGAGTATAAGCGCAAGCCAAGCTCACATTCAGCTTCTCAACCTACTGAGCTCAAATTAACACCTTGTAGTCCTTTATGATCGTATTCTTAAAATGACTGTTGATGGAAGGAAAATATCTAAAGATGGGCATGGATTTTTGTTAATCAATCTACATTTCAAATTAACTTATATAATAGGAAAGGAAGCAAGGACAGTCACGCTCATGTTGAATGAATCCTTATTATTTGCTCATGCAGTGCCAACTTAGTAAGTAATGTTGTAAGGAAAAGAAAAACACAATATACATATATATTATATATACATACACATAGTCACATAGGAAAGGAAGGCTTCTTAATGATCAAATATCTAATTTTAACATTTTTTCTGTAGGATTGGAGAGAGTTAGGCATCTGATACATCATACAAGTTGATTGAGAGTTAGGCATCTCGAAGATGCTGATACATCATACAAGTTCATTTCTTTTTCAAAGCAGATCATATTGCAGTAAAACTTTGCCCATGGGAGTGGTTTAGATACAACAAGCCAGTGATTTCTATATCACCTAAGGTGGGGGAAAAAGATAGCAGAACCATTATTAAAGCAAATGCATCGTGTTGCAGTTTTATAGAAATTAGGAAGTGGGGCACAAATTCACCAAAGCCCCAAATCCCAATATATACCAAAGACGCCTGACAACTGAGATACAATGATTAATGAGAAATATACTGCAAAATAAGGAATCCAAAAAAGAAGAAAACTTACGGTATGAAATCCTCCAGTAAATCTCTTGATAAAGCAGCAATTAACCTAGAGCACAAAATAAAATGCCAATCATAAATTACAAAGGTAAATAAATAATTAGAATATCTCAGTCTGCGGAAAAATAAAGGCAGATTTACATCTCAGTTTGCCGAAAACATGGTAAGGAATATGCATTATTAGAATATCTAATTTAATAAACAGGACATGACATGCTTGATCCAACATTAAAATCCTCACTTCTGACCCATTTAAAATGCAATGGCACAAGATAACATATTTCTCATTAGTTTCAAAGTTAATAATGTCTAACGACACAACACTCCCATACATACAAAAATCTACCCCTTACAAAACATTCTTAGAACAAAATTCCAGTAATCAGCATGACCAGTTACGCAAAATTGATCCTTTTTAAGCTGTCCATTGGAATCAAAAAATTGAGACAGTTGAAATTAAATATGCTGATAAGTCAAAAAATCAGCATGTATACAGTAACCATCCAGTGCCACTGAGTTAATAAGGAATATTCAAAATCAACCAAAACCTAGTAACATTTGCACATTCAGGATACAAAATTAACAGCATTAAGGTATACAACGGGGAAAGAAGCAGCCGTAGTTGCAGGAGATTAACTACAAAATGAATCTGCATACATACAAACATGCAGTGAAGCACACAAGAAAAGAATGAGCCCTATTAGTCATCTTTATTCCATCTGAGAAAAGCAACCATTTCACATTCTTTTTCAATTCCCAAGACAAATAAATACCTTAATATAGGTTCTTGTGATAATCTCGCTTCCATTGTCATTCTAGACAAAAGGCTCGACAGTATAAAATCCTTTTGCAAAATAATTTGAGGAAGAGTTTGAACTAAAGGTAACAATTCCTCATAAACAGCTATAAAATCTTCTGCAGTGTTCAACTCCTGCAAGGCATAACAGAAATGTGTGATGAGGAGGTCCAGACAACATCTAAAAGCTCCATTTGTCGTATTTTATATACAGAAATTCAAAACTAGTCTATAAAATAACATTAAGCAACTTGCAATATCACAAAGGAAATTCAAATGATTGTTTAGATAATTTCTACGGAACACCCTCATGTCATGAAGTTATTCATTCCCTATAAATGGAGATTACAACTTTAAATAGTTCACATATTTCTGATGCAATGTTATAAAAAAAGGCCCTTGATCGAACAGAACAACATATCTTTCTTATACTCAGCCTTATCCATTAAAAGAATTCTTTAAGCCGAAGCACCTGTTCTATGTCATCTGATTCGAACACCATTTAAGTTGCAAGATCAAAACTTCATTTATACAACAGTTTTGGCTTCAGCGGAAACATTCAAAAAGAACATGTTGAAAGGAATGGATAGCGCACCCTATATTGTACAAGAGTGTCGCGAAAGAAGGAGGAGCCTTCAGAAGGTTCAGCTATTAAAGGATCAAGCCTTCGGTACACATTAATGTCGATTTCCTCTATTCTTTGTGCAATTGTCTTGAACTGCATCAAAAGAAGAAACATCAACCCATACACACAAAATAATCCAAAAACCCCACACTAGCAACAAAAAAAAATATATATATATATATATAAAATAAAATCTATTATCTGTGCAGCGCGTTCATTGTCAGCCGCTGAGCGCGCACATAGAGAAACATGTAGACACACTGACAGGACATTGTATTCCTTTGTTTAATTTAATTTTCCGTTTGAACTTACCACAAAGCGGCGGCGGCCGGCTGAATTGTTGAGAGACTTGACTGCCCGAGCGTCAGAGAGCGTGGCCATGTTTGGGTTGCCGAGTTGGAGAGCAGAGCAAGGGTTTTAGGTTCANTAAAAAATATGATATGGTCAATTGTTAATAAAATTTTAAATTTATATTATAATAATATTTAAAATAAAATAATTAAAATTGATGTGATGTAAAAATAGAAAAAAAAACTATGTGAAGTGATAGTTAGTTAAAATTATGTGAATAAATGAATAATAATTAAAGTTGATGTGATAGATACGAATGATAGGTTGGTATTATGTAATTATATTGATAATATTGAGTATAGTGGAGTTAGGTTTTGAATATGAATTGAATTATCATATATACAAACACACTCATGTTCAAAGAGGGCAAAGGTTACGTCATGTCCTTTTTTTTTTTCTTTTCTTTCAATAGCAACTAGTACAATACACGTATATTACACGAGTGTTTGTTAAGAAATTTAATCTTAAATTTTTTAAATTAATGAGAAAAAATATTTTAAATTTAATTACTTTTTTACAAAAAAAAAAATAAATTATTATATATTTTATAATGACACTTGTTACTTGTGCGCTTACATATGTTATATTATAGTAATTTTTCTAGCTTATATCATATAACTACTTGAAACATAAATATATTACTACCTCCTCTTTTTTTAAATGTCATTTTGGTTTTATCAACAATTAACCAAATAAATAACGTTTTGGATCTTTTGTACATATTTCTCTATTATTACCCTCATCTAACTAATAAATACACTACATCTTTTCTCAAAACATTCTTCTTTATTCTCATTAATGAGGGTTATTATTAACAAAAAAATTATTCTTAATTACTGTGTAACTTCTCAAAACGACACTTCCAAAAAATAATATTCTTTTTGTCCTCTTCCTTTTGGAAGACAACTTGGAACTTGTTATGCCCAATTACTCTTGTGGCTGGCGGTTTATGTGTATGCCATATCAATTGAGGAGTGTTCTTTAAGCCTCCAAAATTGGATATTTGTTTTTCCCAAATAACATTCCAATAAGACTAAGGGAACACTTGTGAGGCTTCTTCAATGTCGTCACTTGCTAACGTTATTCAACTTTCCTCCTTAGAAAGGGCAAATTTTTAAGTTTGTTGACAATTTTATGATCCATGGTTAGACTGCCACTCTAGAGTCCCCATAGAAGAAGAACCAAACCCTAACTCCACTTCTTAAAGAATGAACCAAAATGCCTAAGCGACAAAATTAGGAAAAAAAGGGTTTAGAAGGGGTCAACCAAGTACCACGAGACAAAAAGACAAAATACTAAGGGCATGATTGTATATAATTTCAACAGTAAATATCTCACTCAAAACTCAAATTTAACTTAATCTTAACTCAACTCTACTATCTCCAATATTATCAATATAATTAAATAATATCAACCAATTATTATTACACGTCACATCAACTTTAATTCACTATTCATTCACTCACATAATTTTGACTAACTATCATTTTCAATCATTTTCTCTTACTTTTACATCAAATCAACTTTAATTATTTTAATTTAAATATTATTTTAATATATCTACTAACAACTAACCATACTACTTTTTTAAAACTTAACTATAGTTAAAAAAAACTAGTTTTTTACTAGTTGAATTCATATCCAATCACCACTAAAAGATATGAATCAAAAGAACACTAAAAGACAAACGTAAGCATAAACTAGAGAGAAAAGAAAAGATAGAGATCCCGTTTAGCACTAGGTCCAACGGTTCAACAAAAAATAACTTCAGCTCTCTAGAGAGAGAATTTTTTATCCAAACCAAGTAGAATAAATAATTCATCTCAGCACGACACAATTCCAAGGCTTCTCAATTGTTTGAATTTCTTTTTTTCCTGTAGCTCCAGTATTTTAAATACCGTACCGGTAAGTATATCGGACGAGCCAACGGTACGCGTTTCAACCGATATTATCGTCTATTTTACTGGTTTCAATAAATATTAATTTAATTTATTATTATAATATAAATAATGTACAAAACTAACTTTAACTAATACTAAAATTAATTAACATCTACTAACAATGTAAACATATTAAAATTATGTGTAGAACTTTCAATTTATATAAATAAATTAATGAAAATATATTAAAAAATATTTTTTTAAAAAAATTGACATTAAATCGGTATTTTGACCGGTATTTTGGCCGGTATATTTTTCGGTATAAAACCGGTATAAACTGGTATTTTGGCTAAAACTGTATTTAGAGTGTAACCGTATCGGTCGGACCACCAGTATTTGGTATTATCGGTAATACCGACCGGTACGGTACGATATTTAAAACATTGTGTAGCACACAACTCCAGTCGCAATAAACTCTATTTATCTTTCTCTCTCTACAAGATTTTTTCGTCCTTGCATCAAACCACACACACATAGGACATATTTTTCTCTTCGTCCATTTTATTTTTGCAACTTCGCAAAGATCCGTTTGAATCTACGCATATCATCCTTCATCCTCAGCACACGAATTTAAGGTAGTTGTTTTTTATTTTCTTTGAAGGCTTGGCCGGGCTAGACCTAACCTGTGCGGGACAGGACAAGGGACGTGAAACTCCGAGCCTTCAAGTACCCTACCTGACTTTGCTTGTACTACTAAAATGAATGCGCATTTATTAAGAGTGTTCTATTTTAAGTAGATTTCTCCGTCATTGCCAATAAGTTGATGGGTCACACGCTTGACACATGTGTTGTAACTTTCTATGCTCTTCTCAGGGCCCAGTTGTGCTATTTAAGACACTTTTTTTTTTTTTNTCTCATAAAAACGAAACAAACCAGAACAGTGTACAAATCAAACCAACTACAAAAGTTCTAGCCGGGCACAACCCGAATAAGAAACCAGACTAAAAAACTAACCAAAAAAAACCGAGGGCCGAAGCCAGAGAGAACCACTTCAACATATAAGTGGCCTAGAATACAAATAAGGAAAAAATACAGAAGCTAGCGCAGTAGAATAAACACTGAAGTCGCTAGCTATCCAAATGACTAAACAATCACACCAGACATAGATGGAAAAAACCTGATACTAGAAACTGTGCTGCTAAACCAGACCTAACCAGTAACCAGGTTAATTCTCTTTGAACTTGCTCTCATTTCTACTTCCTCCTTCCAAGCTCGGCATGCTTCTCGAACTGTAACCTTCTCTGGTCTCCATTTAAGACACAACATTAAAAATTAATAATTTTTTCTTACTTATTTTTCATAACTTGGTAAAAAATAAATAAGGTTTAAGTACTTCAATGGTTTTAAGATAGATTGATTTTTTCAGAAATTTGAAAGATACGATTCTGAAATTTCAACAAAACTTCACACGCTGGAAAACTTGAAAAGCTATATAGTATATGATAGTTCCATGGTCTAGTTGTGAGGACATTGGACTCTGAATCCAGTAACCCGAGTTCAAATCGTCGTGGAACCTTTACTTATTTCTTTTTTATTTTCTTATTCTTATTTTTAATCCCTCCAATTTTTTTGGCTTCCACAGAGCCCCCAAAATTCTGTGCCCTCCGTTTTTTGTTGTCCGATTTCAATGGACGGAGAAGGACTAGACGCATCCAAACGGCGTAAAATCGAAAACACAGTTATGGAAATCCTCGGAGCATCCGACTTGGAATCGACAACCGAGTGTACCGTACGCGCCGCCGTCGAGCAACGGCTCGGCTTGTCCCTATCCGCCTTCTCTCACCGCCGGCTCGTTCAAAGGCTCATCGACTCCTTTCTGCTCTCTACAGCTGCCGCCGCACTGAATAATCCCTCGCCTCGTGGGAATAGCCCCCGCACCTATAATGTTGAAAATGGAGATTACAATGGCAAAGTCATTTGTAAGGTGGGTTCGCTAACTATTTTTATGCTCTACTGTTTCCTCTCTACGTTAACTGTACTAACCTAAATGGAAAGAAGATTACAATGGCAAAGTCAATTGTAAGATCGGTTTTTCTTATTCTTTCTTTTTATTCGGTGTTTATGACTCCCTTTCTCTCTGGTATTTGAAACTATTTGTTATTTGGTGCCCAGGGGTTTTCATTGGAATGATTTGGCTACATTGTTTATTTGTATCATCTGAACAAAGTTGCTAATTCATTTGTAATGTTTACTGTTTATTTATGTATTTTGTGTTCGGCTTATGGGGAATGGAGTTTGAACAGTTTGATTTCACCCACTTTACGTTAAACACGGTGTTTAGAATTTAGAATTGTGGAGAGTTGGGGTTTGAGTGTATGAAAAGTAGGATATATGTTATATGCAGTTGGTCTGCATTATGAGCTCAGAAGTGGGTGTTAGTTCCTTACAACTATAGACGTAAGATTGTCTGTTTGTTTATCGTCGCTTATCTTTGTAGCTTCAATTCGCTGTAGTAAATACCTTGAGCATTGTTGGACTATACTCATCCCCAAATTTATTATAACTATACTGAAAATTCGATTACTCTACTTCTTGCACGGCTGGAGAAGCAATTATTTGTTGCTTCAGCTTCCTGCCATAGAGATTTATACTTCTTATGTCAACATTGCATGTGATGTGCAGTTATCAGACAAGCGGATGGTGACGGTTTATGACCAATATGGGAAAACCATGGTTGCAATACGGGATTTTGACTTGATACATGGAAACATGCGTCCTAGTAAAGGTGACCCATTGTTATGACACTGTAACCTGAATATGCTTCCATAAACAATATAATTTTCCCTAGTTGACGTTCAATAGAATCATTTACAGTTAATTGTTTGATATTGAGTTTAAAGGTGTGCTGTTGTTCTT